TAAAAGATTCTCTCACAGTGCTTTGCACAGAAATATTTGTTGATTGATGCTTTGATGGTCTGCCAATAAGTCCTTCCTTCCCTTCCTTTCTTCCTCCCTTTTTTCCTTCCTCCTTCCCTTCTTCCTTCCCTCCTTCCCTCCCTGCCTCCCTTCCTTCCTTCCTTCTTCCTTTCTTTTTTTTTTTTTTTGGCAATAATAATCTTGAGTTATCCTTCTGAGCTAGACCATAGCCATCCCTGTGTCCCCACCTGTTATGGACTAGGGGCTGTTATACTGAAGATCCTCAATAGTATCAAACTATTGCCTCCTCTGAAAGCAATACAGATAGACCCCTTGGTTCTCTACATATGCTGGGTAAGATCACTCCTACAAATGAATAGTATGTTATTTTTACTTGTGTTACCTTTTTTGCTTCATTTGTTGCATGAGTGTGGGATATGTCCTTTTACTTTGGAATCACAGATTTCTCTTTTCTTTTTTATTGAATATTTCCCCAGACACTTCGGACTTTATAGGATGGAAACAGAAATAACCCCTTTTCTTCACAGCCTGAATGTCCAATAGTATTGCAGAAACAAAGCTTGGGTAGAAGCCTAGACTTGGATTTTATCAACATACTGAAGGAATGTGGAATACTAGAGAAAGCATGAATTTACGAACTGAAGATTAGAAGTCTCATCCAGTCACTTCCCATCTGTGACTTTGGGCAAATTATTTTAAATTATTTGAGCCCAATTCCCTTCATATAAAATGGTTGTGAGGATTAAATAAACTAACCAAGGTAAAGCGTTTGGCCCGTTGCAGGCGTCCACTGCAAAGAAGCTGAAACTCTGAGCTCCTATGGAATCACTTTGCTCCGTGTTCTTCTCAGAAGCTTGCCTTTTGGCCAACCCATAGCTCATCTTCACTCATCCCTGTTGGAGAGAAACAAGGAGGGAAACAAACCCAACTCAGCCATGTGAGTCTACTACCTGCAGCTATGACACGCAGTTTTAGTAGATAATAAATTGATTGCTGAAATGGTTTAGGGCATAATCTGGTTTTCTTAGCCCATACTAATAGTGGGTTCAAAAACTCAACTATAATCAGTTTCTGATGATAATCACTGAATATCCTATTACAGTCTTTCTTTCTGGAGAAAAAGTTCAACACTAAAATCCTCATAGGTTGAAATTTATTCATTTAAAGTGCTTTCTAAACAGAATCCATTTTGCCCTCTCCCCAGATAATCTAAAAATTGTCACCCACTTCCAGAAAACTGCTGCAATACTGGACGTAACTCCTATTGCAAGTTAGCGCAGGTGGCAGACAAGCCTAGTGGATAAAAAGGGAGCTTTTGAAGACAACAGAGAAACGAGCTGCAGACTTAACTTGGCAGAACTATTTATTAAAATAGTGACTTAGGAGATTTTTCAAATGCCCCTGTTATTTGTAGATCCCATTTGAGAACTCAGCAATCCATTTCAGGAATGAACATTCTTTAGGACAGTCCTGGCTTGTGCCTGTTGTTTGGTGTAATTATTAATACTGTCCCTTTCACTCTCAGGAGTCCCAGAGTGGATGACAAATTATATGGCATCTCTTGCCTTTTGCAGAGTAAAGCTCATCTCTTTTCAGACATATTCCTTGTATTGGATCTAAGGAAAATTAGCAAAACTTTCCTACAACAGTTCCTTTGGCACTGTCTCTTGCACTCATTTAAGCATTTCTTTGGAATAATAATTAAGAGCTCACATAAGCTAATGAATAACTCCCTATGGCTCTCTTATTGGCAAAAGCAAATAAGGCGACTACACAGGGACTCACCTAATATAGCAGCCCTGGGAGAGAAGCACGAGGCTTTGTCCCTTCAAGTTTATATTTTCAAAGCAATCTCCAATTGTTTTAATTATTTTTTTCAATTTAATAAGTGAAGCAAGTGTACCAACACTGGACAGAAAGGGCATGGAGCAAAGAAATCTGACTCTGTGCCTTCTGAAACTGCATTCCAGACTTGAACCCCGAGTGCTCCCTACCATTTATAGACTTGAGTCACCTGCCTTCCTGTTCTTCAGGAGAGGCTGTGCTGTGGTTTAGCAATTCGAGGGTAGGGAGATTGTCAAAACATCACCAGAGATACTTGGAGAGTTACTGTGGAAAACAGGTTTCCATGGTGCCGAGAGGAAGAGTCACATGACACAACCCCAGCTATTCTCTCAGGAGGGAGGGAGAGCCAGCTCCTTTGGGGGTCTTGTCAGGATGAAGCTGTGCATTCTATCCTGCTGGGTAGTCTGGAGGCATCTGGGACAGGTGGATTATTGGACTGGGGCAGATGAGTTCTTACGAAGCATCTTATTTGGGGCAGGAGATGGAAAATGGTCTACCTGCTTCCTAATGCCTTCTCTATCTGTGATTTTTTCATCTTAAGACTCTCTGGACTGAATCTAGTTTATAGCTTGTCCCCAGCTATAAGGTTCCCTGTCTGCAACCAAGTACTGAGAGAAGGAAATAAGTTCAAAGCAAGGCAGGAGAGCACAAAAAGTTTTGCCCTCCAAAGTGATGTGCTTGGAAAGCTCTTGTCTTGAGTGAAAAGGTGTACCAGTCGAAGAAAGAATAGAGCCATGAAACTAGCATTATGGCATAATGTTTGTTTTGAAATGATCCTTCCACAGCCTTTCTCCCAGATCTCTCTGCCCTCGTTCAGTAACATTTCTAAAGAGAGGAAAACTGGGGTGCAGTATGGAAAACTCCACCTCTTGGGTAATGGTGCCATTGTGGGGTAACTAGAATTAACTGAGGTGTCATTCCAACCAGAGGATGTCTAGAAAGCCCAGAATTCTGATATTCTAGAATCAAATGACTCTCCAGAAATCTTGCAACCCAGCTCCCTCATTTTACACAGGGAACTTTCAGGTTCAAAGACCTAGAGTGACTTTTACAAAGATGTCACTGAACTGCTAGCTTGGAGTGCTTCACCAATCAACTTTAGTCGGGAAGACTTACAAATACAAACCACGAGTAATTTCTTCCCACTGTGAACAATTGTCATGAGACCTAAATGAACGCCTGTGGAAACAAATAGCACACACTTCCTGCCTAGCCAGGGAGCTTGCTCACCATGGTTGGCCACTGTCCCTGACAGGAATCTCCTGCCCCCATGGGCAGATTAGCTGAAAACCAATGAAGCTGAAGCTTCAGGATGCCTTCCAAGACCCTGGACCTAATTTTGTATTTGTAATTTTGTATCCTTTTGCTTAAAGAGGGTCCTTCAAATTTCATGAGCTTCATGCCCTGGGAAACCCAGATATTGCCCTGCTTATTCCTTATAAATATAGTCATCTGATGCTCCAATACATTCCTGATCAGAAGCGGGGACCACGTGAAAGTGAGGATGACTCCGCCTGGATCTAGCTAGAAAAACAAGCTGGGGCCTGCAAAGAAGTTGTTTCAGATATAACATTGAGGATCTGCCCACATTATGTCACAAATTTCTACCTGCCCCCCTTCTTGTTTCTACCATCATTATCTCTTTACCCAGACCAATCTTGTCTTTCAGATATACAGAAGTGAGATTTTAGATCTGGCAAGAGTATTATTTTGTCATCATGCTTAATTTTGTAGGCACTACAAATGGCTTAGGAACCTCAGGTTCCTAAACTCCACTCCCTGTAAAGTGAAGTCACAGTGTTGGCCAATAATTTAAGCAGGCAGATTACTTGTTTCGCTTGTTAGATATAATCTGCCTGGTATGTCCCTGTGTGGGAGGAAACCAATGAATGAGGCCTATTTATCTAAGCACTTCAATAAAACTCAAATCAGTGCAATGCTACACACCTTCACTTGATGACCATCATGAACAAAGCTTCTAAGTTCCCCTCTGAAGGGAGATAAAGCTGAACAAGACATTATGCCTGTCAGTAGTGTTTCCATCAAAAAACGTGGTTTGGAGAGCTTGCCTTTGTTTCGTCCAATACTAAAACCAAAACTAAACCAAACCCATTGCTGGAGAGTCAATTCCAACTCATGGCGACCCCATGTGTTTAGTATCTACAACAGGCTCAGAGTTTTCTTTTACCCAGTAACTATCATCTTCTCAACAACTCAGTAAGATAAATATTATTCTTCTCATTTTGCTGATGTGGAAAGTAAGGCTAAGAGAGGTTATGTGGGTTGTACAGGTCACACACCTAGGGAGTCCCTCTGCTTGTTAGGGGCTGGTGGAGACTGAAGAATAATGTTTCTAATGTAGGAGGAGGAAGGTAGAAAGATATTGGACTTCCTAAACATCGCATTCTGTTTTACACAGGCCGGTATTTAAATCCCAGTTCTAACATTTACTAACTGTATGGCTTTGGGAACGCCACGCTCAGCCTTGACTTCCTCATCTGTAAATTGAACAAAATACCCCACCTCAAAAGGCAACAGGAATGAAAAACTGAGATTGTGTGCATGAACTCCATTCCCAGCAAACCCAGGCAAAAAATAACTCATTTTTGTAAGAAGCGCTCATCCCCTAGATTTCTGCATGCTCACCTCCTCATCTCCTTCAGGCGCCTCCTGATACTGCATTCTCTGCTGCCTCTCCTCATAGCTCTCTACAACTTGGGGTGTTGGGGGTGGGAGGAGGTGTGGGTGGCCCCAAAAGCCTTTGTTCAACTGTGCCTGTCGATGACTGTGTCATCTCCTGCAAGTCACTTAACTTTTGACACTCATGTTTTTCACACGCTGAACATGGAAAATAAAACCCACACCTCACAGCCCTGTGGCTAGGATCACAGGTGGGGAAAACCCTTTGGAAAGAAACTGTAAAGCGCCGTACAAGTTAAGTGCCGCACCAGGTATTAACACAGGAGCCCCCTAGTTTCCAGTCCAGAGAGTCGACCCCTCACGTAGGCCGTGCCGCGCAGGGCAGGAAGGAGAGTTAACCCCTGGGAGCCTCTCTGGGCGTTTCTCCGGGCGGTCTGGGAGGAGTTCCGCCCCTCGGCTCCCGCCCCGCCAAGCGGCCTCTCCCTCGCGCCAACAAGAGCGCTCTCTTTTTTCTCTGGAGCCCCAGCTGCGTTTCCCCCGCCCAGCACGGCACGGCGGGCCGGCCGCCAGGATGCAGGCCCCTAACAAGGAGCATCTGTACAAGCTTCTGGTGATCGGCGACCTGGGCGTGGGCAAGACCAGCATCATCAAACGCTACGTGCACCAGAACTTCTCCTCGCACTACCGGGCCACCATCGGCGTGGACTTCGCGCTCAAGGTGCTCCATTGGGATCCGGAGACCGTGGTGCGCCTGCAGCTCTGGGACATCGCAGGTGAGCGCCGGGGGATGGGTGCGGGAATGGCTTGCCTCCCTTCTCCAGTCCAGAGGCAGTGGGTTGCAGCCAGGCGTGCGACCCGGATCTTTCCGACGCTGTGTCTTAAGAGACTCTTCCCGGTGGGTTGGAAACTTGGTTTCAAAGCAAAGAAAAAGTTTCTCGCTCTGTCTGAAACTTCTTCAGGTGTATTTCCTAGCGCTTTAGGGGTATTGCTTTCGCTCCCTCCTGCATCCTATCCTTCGTTCTGTCTGCCCGGCGTGGGCCTCCCGGGGGGGTGGGGAGGTGGAGAGAGGGAGAGAAACTGTCTGGAGTTGCATTCGGTTCTTGGTCTCCTGCTCATTTTCCGGGCGCGGGTAATCCTGCCGTGACACCGCGCAGAGTGTCACGGCCGCCAGTCTGTGCCCTGGCCAGTTGAGGGGAAGCCCCTAGCCTGGTTAACAGCTGGAATCGGGATAGATTCTGGCTAGAGTTTGCCAATTCCTGTTTCCAATAGCACGTTTTTTCCTCATTTTGCCAACCTTCCTTTCTGCCTTCAGTCAAGCGAGTTTGGGGTTCTCTGCTGTGAGGAAGCCAAGGACCTTTCTGTGTATGTATCGGGGCAAAGTATTATTTCTCTGTCTCTCTCGGTTTCTCTGGCTTTCTGTAGCCTATCAGAAGGAGATTGCTTATGTATCCTAAGGCCACTTTTTCTTGAATTCTCTCTGAAGTTTACATTGCACGATCTGGAAAATGAGAAGCTTCTTCACATTCTTTGAAATCAGAAGTGGATTCCGAGGGTTTGTACCAGAAGTTTTGAGTGCAGTTTCTGCTCTAAGCCTCGGCTCTCCTACAACTGCTGTTTGAAACTTGGCCATGTCCAACCCCTCATTACAGATTCTGGCTTGCTATTCACCAACTTGCTTAGTGGCTTAGAACAAGTCCCTTCAGCTCAGTTTCCTCACTGTAAGTGGAAGGAGGTTGGATGATGATGGCCCAGCAGTCTTCCTGCTTAGAAGTTTTAGGATCGTCTGGGATTCTTCATGAGCAACTTTAAACAGTCCAACTTTGTCTCTATTTCATAGTCTGTGGCACCAGAAATCTTTATAAATGCTGGGTCAAACTAGCTTCTTTGTCTCTTAAAAAATAGGTTCATTTGAGCTGGTGCATTTGACTGGAAACACTTTATCATGGCTTGAAGCAAGAACAAAAGGGGAAAATTTTTGAAAGGGCATTTCTGGTTCTGGGTATTCCAGTGCCTCTTTAATCATGAGGTGCCAGGTCTTATGACAAAGCTTTTGGCTTGTGGACAGATTCATGCAGTTGGCGTCATCTTCAGCAGCTCCAGTTGCATAGGGTTATCAGAGACTGGAAAAAGTCATCAGGTACTATCTGATTGGAATTTTCATCCAGAAGATCCACTTTGAGTTTGGGTGCTTTGTTGCTGCATGTTTTAGTGTCTAAAAACTATGCTAGCTGCCTAAAAATCTCCAGGACTCTGGTTTTAGAATGAGCTTACTGTGGAAAAGTGGATGTAGTTGTAGTATGGATTTCTGTGTCAAGTCTAAGTAACAGTGTGACCTTGAGCATTTTACATAATGTCCTTGGGTCTCAGTTTTCTCACCTAACAGAGGAGATAGAAGGGTGTAGTGATTAAGAACCTAAGTTCCAGAATTGAACTGCCACTGTCTAAGTCCCGGTTCTACCCGATATAAACTAGGAGATCTTAGGCAAGTTCCTTAACTTCCTCATCTCAGTTTTCTTATCTATAAACTAAAAGAATGCTTTCTTCTGACAAGCGAGAGAGAGCTATCAGCTAATGCTAGCTAAAGGCAATGGTACCTACTGCTTAGGAGAACTGCAAGGATTATTATTTCACTAGCTACTATTTTTTTGAGCATGTGTAAATACTAGGCAAGAAGGGCATGATACACATATCCCCATTAAATCCTAATAAATTATGATCCCAATATTACACTTATTTTCTGTCCCTAACACCCAGCACCATTGTTAAGTTTCACTCATAATATAATGTACAGTCATGAACAATTTAACTCTCAAGCTTAGAAATGCCTGCTGAGCTGGGCTGAGGTTCCTGCTCCCTGCCCATGGGGACTGTAGTCACAAAAGTTTGTATAAATAAGAAATCTAAGGAGGTTTGTGACTCAGTTCTAAAGACAGAGTGGTGTGCAGAATCCTAATCAGGGAGCTTCTTTTTCCAGAGCTCTGATGCTAGTGGTTACTTGTCTTCAGCAGCCTTAAGCCCAAAGGCCCTGCGGGCTGAGTTAGAGGTTGGGCTGCAGGCAAAGCTGATTAGGGGGAAGCAGGGCCATTGTGGGAAGGAATGGTTGGAACATAGCACTGGCATGTTTCAAGCTGCATAGGTAGATCTGTGGGGAGTGAGTTCATATAAAACCCAGCCCCAGCTTCTCACCTAGACTCCAGTGAGCTAAGTGTACCTTAGAGCACCTTCAAACCACAGCCTGTCTGTCCAAGGATAAGAATGCAGCTGCTCCTCCTTTGTGCTCTACTCTGGTGTGCGTGCCTGGAAAGAACAGGCAGTGATGGTTGGTGAGCCTGGATTTGAGAGGGCTGGTGTGGATGAGGAAGAGGGGACCTTTCAGTCACTTGCCCTGTCCTGATAGAATATCAGATATGCCTGCTATGGAGGGAATCTTTGCTCAGCTTGACTTTCTTCTGTTTTTTAATTGTGGTAAATATATATGTAGCAAAGCATTTGCCGTTTTAACATTCTTCACATGTACAATTTGGTGACATTAATTGTACTCATCATGTTGTGCAACTATCACCATTAACCATTTGCAGATTTTTCCATCGCCCTTAACAGAAGTTTAGTGTCCTCTAAGCAATGAGTTGTCATTTTCCTCTTCTTCCTGCCCAATCCTTGTAATCACTAAATAAACTTAGGTCTGTAAACCAAAAGAAAAACAAACAAACAAACAAACAAACCCGTTGCCGTCGAGTCAGTTCTGACTCATAGAGACCCTATAGGACAGAGTAGAACTGCCCCATAGGGTTTCCAAGGAGCGGCTGGTGGATTTGAACTGCCAACCTTTTGGTTAGCAGCCGAGCTCTTAACTACTACGCCACCGGAGCTCCTAGGTCTGTATACATTTGCCTATTCTAGATATTTCAGATAAGTGGAGTCTTACAATATTTGTCCTTTTATGTCTGACTTATTTCACTCAGCATAATGTCTTCAAGGTTCATCTATGTCAAAGCATACATAAGAAGTTCATTTCTCTTTATGGCTGAGTAATATTCCATTGCATGTATGTACCATGTTTTGTTTACTCCTTCACGTCTTGATGGGCATTTAGGTTGTTTGCTTCTTTTGGCTGTTGTGAATAGTGCTGCAATAAATTTGTGATATTCATTTGGTTCAATGCCAAGTTGGGTCTTATTTGTCCAATGAATCCCCATAATATATGTCTTGTAGCTACTCAGACTGGCCAATCTGATCCTGAAATACTCCAAAAAGTACCTTGTAGAGGCCTGTGGAGCAGGCCATGAATCTCACAAATACCTCAGGGGACAGCAGTTGCTGTGAATTCCAAGAATTCCACCACTGAGTAGTAGCTGAGTCAGCCCTATATTCAGAAGCCCTTACTAGAGTCAGAGAAATTAAGCACCTTTGCCCAAGCCCACCCAACTAATAAGGGGAAGAGCTGGATTTGACCCAGTTCTGTCTGACTTGAAATCAAGCCCTGCTCGTAACGACCACAGGCCTGTCGGTGCGTGGCACACAGTCAGCCCACAGTCTATGGCCTCTTAACTTTTAAAAGTGTTCCTTCTTTAAGGATGTAGAGCATAATTCTAACTCACAAAAAAAAGACCAGATTTACTGGCCTAAAGGAGACTGGAGAAACCTCGAGAGTATGGCCCCCAGACACCCTTTTAGCTCAGTGGTGAAGCTACCTTCGAGGTTCACTGTTCAGCCTGGGAGTGGACAGCCCCATAAAACCAAATGAGACTAACAAGGTACAGGAGTCCAGTGACAAGGGCCAGAAGGCAGAAGGGGACAAGGAAGCTGGTGATAGGGAACCCAAGGCTGAGTAAGGATATGGTTGATGTGTTGTGAGATTGTTAACCATTGTCATAGGGCAACATTTGTAGTAACTGTTAAATGAGAAACTATTTTGTTCTGTAAGTCTTCATCTTAAGTGAGAATAACGGCACAATTGGAAGAGCATAGTCAATGTCACTGAACTGTGCATGTAGAAATTTTTGAAACGGTGTATCTTTGGCTATGTGTATTTTCACCAAAAAAAAAAAAAAAAAGGTTGAGAAGTTAGAGGGTTAGTATGTTGTGGGGTTGTTAACCAATGTCATAAAACAACATGTGTACTACTGTTTCATGAGAAACTATTTGTTCTGTAAGCCTTCACCTGAAGTACAATAAAATATATATAAAAAAAGTGTTCCTTCTTTAGTAGATGGGTTATCCTTTTCCTTTCTATTTCTAACTGGGTGTTGGATATTAGACAGTACCACTGTGCAGAGACAGTGGAAGGAAGTGGCATGAAATTCTATTTCTGAAAATTTGGTTCTTGGGTATGATACGAATTTATATATTTTTTCTCTTCATAGATTTATCAGGAGAGAAGTAACCAATAAGTTTATACTTGAGGCTGTCCTTCTCTCATACCCTTCAAAGTAGTGTAATTACTCTGTTAACACTTTCTAAGAGAATTATACAAGTTTGAGCCTTTGGATCCTGCTGCAGGAATAGGGATAGTCATAGTAATAGTAGCGACCATTTCTTGAGCATTTGTTTTTACAATTGTCCGGCACATTTAATCTTTAATTTCCAAGTAAACTAGCTGGTTAAGTGGAAGTGCTGAAATTTAAAAATTGAATTCTAGCGCCCAGGTTCCGAGAGCCCAGGAGGCTCTACTACCTCCTTTAATTTAAAAATGGAATACTTCAGATGCTGTTTGACATTGGACAAAGCTTGAGACCTTGCTGGGCTTCATTTGTTCCATCTGTAAAATGGTGAT